GAACACATGTGATATCTACTAACTTCACTGACGAGTCCTAGAAGGACAAAACACATGTGATATCTACTAACTTCACTGACGAGTCCTAGAAGGACATAACACATGTGATATCTACTAACTTCACTGACGAGTCCTAGAAGGACATAACACATGTGATATCTACTAACTTCACTGACGAGTTCTAGAACGAAGATGTGATAGTGGACACTTTTGCCATGAATCGTTGTTTAACGTCCCCGTTCTTCTTATCAGTGGTTGTACTCACAAGTAAATAACATGATTTAGGGTAAGGTAAAGTGGAGACGAGCAATGTATTAAACTGCATCACTGTTTCGAGCAGTATTATTAACTTTCAGAAAACATCCAAATGAGCTTCATAATATCAAATTATAGAACACCATATCTTTGTTTCAGCCTACCATGCGATACCCGTTTGAGAAGTTCTTTCCCGTAAGTTTGAAGGTAGGTAATCAAATCAAAAACAGTTTTGTTAGTTTTAAGTGTTATGTCATTGAATGAGTTATGCATTATAAGTACATGTACTATTTTCCCCATCAGCGTTGTATTGATGCCGAAATGACGTCATTGTTTTGTATCTCGTTAAGGAATTAACAGACAATTTCAAAATACTTGCATAAAGATACAGATATACATTAAGTGAAGTTCGACATTGTCAGCAGATTGTTACAGTTGTTTGTTGATACGTGTTAAGTAGTTTGCTTAAAACAATTGCAAGATGTATCTGTAATATTTAATATTTAACACAACGTGTTATTTATGCTCTATACCTCTTTCCTTTTTCAAACGAAACAGTTTGCGTTTGGTTATGAACAAACCCGCCTATATTAGGTTTGTAGGCGAACCTGCTGTATTGGATTTTAAAACGATCCATCTGTGTAGCCCATCTGTAATTGATGTTTTGTTTTATACATGTATTTATATATGTATTTGACTTATAGACCAAAATGTCTGTATTAACTGACTGTATTTGAATGTCTGTATTAACTGATAGTATTTAATTTTAAGACCAACCTGTATTTATGACAGTATTTAATAAGACCAATGTCTATTAATATGTATTTGACTTATAGACCAAAATGTCTGTATTAACTGACTGTATTTGACTTATAGACCAAAATGTCTGTATTAACTAGTATTTAATTTTGTACTGTATTTGACTTATAGACCAAAATGTCTGTATTAACTGATAGTATTTAATTTTAAGACCAACCTGTATGAATTAACTGACTGTATTTGACTTATAGACCAAAATGTCTGTATTAACTGACTGTATTTGACTTATAGACCAAAATGTCTGTATTAACTGATAGTATTTGATTTTAACTGATTGACCAACCTGTCTGTATGAATTTAACTCAACCTGTATGAATTAACTGTATTTGACTTATAGACCAAAATGTCTGAATTAACTGACTGTATTTGACTTATAGACCAAAATGTCTGTATTAACTGACTGTATTTGACTTATAGACCAAAATGTCTGTATTAACTGACTGTATTTGACTTATAGACCAAAATGTCTGTATTAACTGACTGTATTTGACTTATAGACCAAAATGTCTGTATTAACTGATAGTATTTGACTTATAGACCAAAATGTCTGTATTAACTGATAGTATTTGACTTATAGACCAAAATGTCTGTATTAACTGATAGTATTTGACTTATAGACCAAATTGTCTGTATTAACTGATAGTATTTGACTTATAGACCAAAATGTCTGTATTAACTGATTGTATTTGACTTTTAGACCAAAATGTCTGTATTAACTGATAGACCAAAATGTCTGTATTAACTGATGTATTAATGTCTGTATTAACTGACTGTATTTAATTTTAAACCGTCTGTAAACTGTCTGAATTAACTGACTGTATTTGACTTATAGACCAAAATGTCTGTATTAACTGACTGACTGTATTAACTGATTGTATTTACCTGTCTTTAAGACCAAAATGTCTGTATTAACTGACTGTATTTGACAAAATGTTATTAGACCAAAATGTCTGTATTAACTGACTGTATTTGACTTATAGACCAAAATTTTAAGACCAACCTGTCTGAATTAACTGACTGTATTTGACTTATAGACCAAAATGTCTGTATTAACTGACTGTATTTGACTTATAGACCAAAATGTCTGTATTAACTGATAGTATTTAATTTTAAGACCAACCTGTCTGAATTAACTCACTGTATTTGACTTATAGACCAAAATGTCTGTATTAACTGACTGTATTTGACTTATAGACCAAAATGTCTGTATTAACTGACTGTATTTGACTTATAGACCAAAATGTCTGTATTAACTGATGTAGACCAACCTGTCTGAATTAACTGACTGTATTTGACTTATAGACCAAAATGTCTGTATTAACTGACTGTATTTGACTTATAGACCAAAATGTCTGTATTAACTGATAGTATTTGACTTATAGACCAAAATGTCTGTATTAACTGATAGTATTTGACTTATAGACCAAAATGTCTGTATTAACTGATTGTATTTGACTTTTAAGACCATCCTGTCTGTATTAACTGACTGTATTTAATTTTAAGACCAACCCGTCTGTATTAACTGACTGTATTTGATTTTAAGACCAACCTGTCTGTATTAACTGACTATTTAATTTTAAGACCATCCTGTCTGTATTAACTGACTGTATTTGATTTTAAGACCAACCCAGCTGTATTAACTGATTGCATTCGATTTTAAGACCAACCTGTCTGAATTAACTGACTGTATCTGACTTTTAGACCATCCTGTCTGTATTAACTGACTGTATTTGATTTTAAGACCACCCCAGCTGTATTAACTGATTGCATTCGATTTTAAGACCATCCTGTCTGTATTAACTGACTGTATTTGATTTTAAGACCAACCTGTCTGTATTAACTGACTGTATTTGATTTTAAGACCAATCCGTCTGTATTAACTAATTGTTTTTAATTTTAAGACCAATCTCGTCTGTATTAACTGACTGTATCTAATTTTAAGACCAACCTGTCTGTATTAACTGACTGTATTTGATATTAAGACCAACGCATTTGTATTAACTGACTGTATTTGATTTTAAGACAAACCCATCTGTGATTTTTGTCGGGCGCCTTGTTATCCCTGAAGTAAAAACTTTACTAAACGATATCGTCCTCAGCAAAAGCGATTTAAGGTAAGATTTTATGAACAGCATGCCAAGTGTACCAATCGAGATGTTAATTATTAACAACACACATGTTTTATATGTAATGATATAACCTAAAGGCACCGTAAACTCCTAACCCGTCATACATATCCTACTTGAAATCATGAAATAAAACGCATACGTTGCATTTAATAACAGTATGAATCGGTCGCAAGGAATGGCAAGACTCTATCAATTTTATATTTTCAGACCATCAAATCTTATTGATGTTGTATCCATGGAAGAAGCCTGCGAGTCTGGGTAAGGTTTGTTAAAAAAGAGGAAATTCTAACTTGTCAGCAGAATGATAATATAAACTCAAATTTAATAAAAGTATGGCAAGATATAAAAAAGGAAAGATTTACTCGGAGACTTCTGTAAAAGTACAAAGATGATAGGACCAGGTATTCTGGAAGAGTAAGTGCCTTTTGCTTCATCGGCGACAGCCGCCATGTATATCGTGGTTTATGCAGGTAAGTAATGTCACGCGTTAATTCTGAATAGTTCTATTCGGCATCATAATCGAAAAGTTGGCACAGGTTATTACAATACACCTAATTGTCTGCGTACTGTTGACATCAATACGTATGGCACATAAGTAAGTGTTGCAAACCAATACATCGTAAGTAAATATGCAATCGATTGATAACATAAGTACATTATAAATCTTGTAAAACTGCGTTACATTACAGTACATCAATGTAATATGTGAGATTTACACAGTTATTTGCGGTAAATGTACGTTCTACTTTCCTGGTGAATTTGTTTGAATAATATTCTACCTGCCAATAGCTGATCTAAATTGTTATCAACTTCTCCCAGCCATTATTGTCTGATTCCTTTTGTGTGTCTCACGTAAAGTACTAGTGAGTATTCATCAACATATACCTTTCATATCTGAATGTTTAATAGTCTCCGTGTAAATCTTTCCTCGGATCATATTTCGGTCGAATTCGTCGATTTTGACTTGGAATACAAGATTCCATGGTCGTTTATAAGAATCAATATAAAGAAACTTTAATTAATTTGAGAAGCTACAATAAGCATGCTGTTGATATACAATAGAAGTAAGAGGTTGTAGTTCATTCTTTTAACAGCGAGTCATCAGCAGTATGTGTAATGTGAATGTGTGTTCAGTAATAGATCGTCAGTTAGTGACCCGATCATCGGCGTTCATATCACCATCGCTGTTATGAGGATATAAAACAGCATTAAAAACTAATAGAAAAAAAAATTGAATGTATAGTATAAACCACATACATTTGTGTTATTAATACGCTTCATGCTTGTAGATGTACTTGTTAGCTCCTTTCTTGTATACATTCTTAAGAAATAACAGTGTCTTTGTACGATAGCTACACACGGTATGATGATTTCCTTGACTCCGGGGCGGATTTAGCTGACGACGCTCTCTCCTCATTGAGATCGCACATCAGTTCTGAAGAATCGGCCATTATATTAACAACATCTGTACGTATATAGAATAATCTTATCCGCTGAACTAATTATCTAGCTTTGTAAGGAAAGCCTCAATGTAGCGTGTTCTCATTGAAACAACACAGATAAAAATCATGATGAATCATTTTACAAATACAGACATTAATTCACTAATTAATTTTTTGTTAGGGGATATTTGATCTTCGGTTATTGATGAATAAATGCAGGCATATGTCTGCCTGAAGAATATGGGGGAAAATAGCGGTCAATCTAATATTCGAGTCGTTTATATCAAATAGGTATATGTTACTGTTACAGGGCACGACAGGTGATGTGAAGTTTGTTTGTCGCTCACAATTCTACATGGTGAATTTTATAAGATTTTACAACAGGCGCAACCCTAAAACTGTGGTAAGGTTTCATACATTATCAATTAGTGTGTGAAATGTAGCTCTACACTGAGAATACATTTACAAGTTTCTAAAGTACGAGTAAATGTTTGAAAATATTCTCTTACGTTTCACTGATACAATGTTTCCTTACTCTTGATCAGCTGTAGATATTTGGATACATCTTCATAAAAAAGTGGTATTGACATGATTCTTGTTCATTTTTAATTATTTGATTTGGTGACAAACATATAATAAGTTGGAAAGAAATTAAGATATTTTGACAAATAATTTGCTTCATTTTGTGAAGATGGGTACACAGTTGCATGTTTGCGTAAAGGCAGCCACGCGCCTGGATTTACTTTATATGACTTGGTAATGCTTGTTACAGCCTGAGATAGCCGGTGTTCGAAACCCCGTCACAGACGACGGAATGTGTGTAATTAAGTGCACAGAGGCGGTGTTTAAATGGCGGACGATGTACGCAGTCTTTGTCCCTTCAGATGTCGATTTCTACATGAACGATATCAGCTGTTTAATGAAATGCATAGAAGAAGAAAAGTAAGTTTATATAACGTTTACGTGTGGTATCTAACTGGATAAGTTACATTTACCCCATATCACGATTTTTACACAGGTCAAGGTCGACGGGAAAGGAGGTAATTAACATGTTTTGGGATCTTCATCACGATTTCATTCACAAATTTTGCCATTAATTTGTCGATTTTGTGAGGATTATTCATATCTCGAAAACATGTCTAAAAAAGTCTATCTGGAAATTTCTTTGGCTTTATTGTATGTATATTAGTATTTAGTTGGTTCAGTTGGACTGACTGTTGATTGAAAGTCTGGATTGTGATAATGTTGACATGTTCATATGTTCTTTGTTGTTTTTGTACACAATTGTTGCCTTCATAAATATATCATTTTGTATCACTTCAGATTAACGTGGTACAGCGGATACCCGTACGAAATTATTAAGATATTATCTTAAATCACTTCAGATTACGTGGTACAGCGGATACCCGTACGACATTATTAAGATATTATCTTATATCACTTCAGATTAACGTGGTACAGCGGATACCCGTACGACATTATTAAGATATTATCTTATATCACTTCAGATTAACGTGGTACAGCGGATACCCGTACGAAATCATTAAAATATTATCTTATATCACTTCAGATTAACGTGGTACAGCGGATACCCGTAAGACATTATTAAGATATTATCTTATATCACTTCAGATTAACGTGGTACAGCGGATACCCGTACGAAATTATTAAGATGTTATCTTAAATCACTTCAGATTAACATGGTACAGCGGATACCCGTACGAAATCATTAAAATATTATCTTATATCACTTCAGATTAACGTGGTACAGCGGATACCCGTACGAAATTATTAAAATGTTAGATTCTCCAGATCTGCATCGATACGACATAAGCTCACTCCGTGCTGGTAAGTTTTCGATTTTATTTTCTTTGTTACATGTGAAATATATAGAATCCATTTTGATTGTTACTTTTATGATACTATGTTACCTTCTAAAGTTGTAGTAACGGGCCAGAGCGTCAGTACCAACAATCTCAACAGGATCTGCGATCAGTTCCCTGACACTATGGTAATCACTTGTCTTTAACGTACTATGTTACGGTTTTTTATTCTTCACATTATTCATGCAAATAAATCCGAGTTTCTGAAATTTCCGTGGATTGTAGAAAATTTTATCTATTTATTTTTGGACCAAGTCTTTGCCCCCGAATAAAGCCTTAAATTATGTATATATTTTGTTTTACAATATTGCCGATAAAATCAATTTTGGAGGTAAAAGCGACATTCACAATACTTTCTAAAATTAACATATTAACATATTCATCTTGACCCCATATTTAGATTGCTTATGGTTCAACGGAAGTCCAGGGTACTATGACATCAAACTTGTACTCTACATTAGACCAAAGACGGAATTCAGTTGGATATCCCCTACCACATATGGAGGTACGCGATCGTGTTATAAGTGATCCGTAATGTTGGCATTGTTTTGCGCCAGTGTTAGTAATAATTTCTCTTAATTAATGTATACAAAGCTGCAACTGCGTTATGCTTAAATTGTCCATCTGTCGGTAGATTTAGTTTACGTTACACAAAACTGTCATATGGAAATAGCTGATAGATACGGTGTGAAGTCAAGGGAGGTAAATACTGCAAGAAATTTCCAGTTGGCAATATCGGCGTTGTGTGTTCATGCTTTCGCAACATTACAAACAATTTTATGGGTTTTTTTTATCAAATCAGTTGAAGATTGTTGGTAAATACGGCGAAACGTTGCCTGTTAACCAGACCGGTGAAGTCTGTGTTCGTGGATGGGCATCCTTCTTGTGTTACTTCAACGACCCAAAGACAACAGCAGCAGTCAAAGGTCACAGCAACTGGATACATATGGGGTGAGTCATCACGGATACGTATTGCCAGGTTTTATCGGATACATATGGGGTGAGTCATCACGGATACGTATTGCCGGGTTTTATCGGATACATATGGGGTGAGTCATCACGGATACGTATTGCCGGGTTTTATTGGATACATATGGGGTGAGTCATCACGGATACGTATTCCTGGGTTTTTCTGGATACATGAAGAATGAGCAACACGTACACCCTGTTATAAAAGAATCCTCAAAATTTCAAACAATCATTTTTTCATTCTCTTTATATTTAAAATCTTTTAGATGCAGTGGCATGATAAATGTAATATGGGTTGTTGGGAAATATGTTTTGCCTAAATCAAGAAATGTGCCTAAATGTAACAGTCGGAGCTGTTTAGTGATGTGTTAAATATGTAATATTACGTAATTAAAACTCGGGAGCGTACGTCTTTTAGGCCCCTTCTCATTCGTGCATTCCAGTGATGTTGGAGTGATGGATAAAACTGGACATGTACAGCTATTAGGACGGATGGCTGAATGTGTGACGTTTAAACACATGGGCGAAAAGGTGTTCCCTCAACTTATTCTGGACACAGCAAGGTCTCATCCAAAGGTCGAAACAGCAGTTGTAAGTAATTCTGTCTTAGAAGGTAAAATATTTAAATGGTTGATGCCCGTTAGTACCCTGATGGTTGTCGTTAACATTTGTCTTAGAAGGTAAAAGATTTAAATGTTTGATGCCCGTTAGTACCCTTGTGGTTGTCCTTAACATTTGTCTTAGAAGGTAAAATATTTAAATGTTTGATGCCCGTTAGTACCTTTGTGGTTGTCGTTAACATTTGTCTTAGAAGGTAAAAGATTTAAATGTTTGATGCCCGTTAGTACCCTGATGGTTGTCGTTAACATTTGTCTTAGAAGGTAAAAGATTTAAATGTTTGATGCTCGTTAGTACCCTTGTGGTTGTCGTTAACATTTGTCTTAGAAAGTAAAATATCTAAATGTTTGATGCCCGTTAGTACCCTGATGGTTGTCGATAACATTTGTCTTAGAAAGTAAAATATCTAAATGTTTGATGCCCGTTAGTACCCTTGTGGTTGTCGTTAACATTTGTCTTAGAAGGTAAAAGATTTAAATGTTTGATGCCCGTTAGTACCCTGATGGTTGTCGTTAACATTTGTCTTAGAAGGTAAAATATTTAAATGTTTGATGCCCGTTAGTACCCTTGTGGTTGTCGTTAACATTTGTCTTAGAAGGTAAAATATCTAAATGTTTGATGCCCGTTAGTACCCTTGTGGTTGTCGTTAACATTTGTCTTAGAAGGTAAAAGATTTAAATGTTTGATGAACGTTAGTACCTTTGTGGTTGTCGTTAACATTTGTCTTAGAAGGTAAAAATCTAAATGTTTGATGAACGTTAGTACCCTTGTGGTTGTCGTTAACATTTGTCTTAGAAGGTAAAAGATTTAAATGTTTGATGAACTTAGAACCGAAAACATTTGTCTTTCAAAGGTACCTGATGTTGTTGTCTTAGAAAGTAAAATATCTAAATGTTTGACCCTTGTGGTTGTCGTTAACATTTGTAACTTAGAAGGTAAAAGATTTAAATGTTTGATGCCCGTTAGTACCTTTGTGGTTGTCGTTAACATTTGTCTTAGAAGGTAAAAGATTTAAATGTTTGATGCCCGTTAGTACCCTGATGGTTGTCGTTAACATTTGTCTTAGAAGGTAAAAGACTTAAATGTTTGATACTCGTTAGTACCCTTGTGGTTGTCGTTAACATTTGTCTTAGAAGGTAAAATATCTAAATGTTTGATGCTCGTTAGTACCCATGTGGTTGTCGTTAACATTTGTCTTAGAAGGTAAAAGATTTAAATGTTTGATGCTCGTTAGTACCCTTGTGGTTGTCGTTAACATTTGTCTTAGAAGGTAAAAGATTTAAATGTTTGATGCTCGTTAGTACCCTTGTGGTTGTCGTTAACATTTGTCTTAGAAGGTAAAATATCTAAATGTTTGATGCCCGTTAGTACCCTGATGGTTGTCGTTAACATTTGTCTTAGAAGGTAAAATATCTAAATGTTTGATGCTCGTTAGTACCCTTGTGGTTGTCGTTAACATTTGTTTGATGCCCGTTAGTACCCTTGTGGTTGTCGTTAAAATCTTTGTCTTAGAAGGTAGAAAATTTAAATGTTTGATGAACGTTAGTACCCTTGTGGTTGTCTTTTTTGTTTATTTCGTATTTGTTTTGAAACGTGATCTAATTTATTTTAACTGACCAAGATCGCGTGTGTTGTCGCTAAAGCAGAAGACGTTTACTCTTCAGGAATTCTTGATTTTATTTTTCTTGTTTTTCTCCTCAATAGAATTTCGTATTTTACTTCTTGATATATAGTCAATATCCGAGGCGGACAAAAATGACCGATTACCGTTTGTATTGAAATGTATAAAGATACATTATACGGGTATTGAATCGTTCTCGTTTTATACAGGTGATCGGTATTCCAGATGATAGACTGGGCGATGATGTCTGTCTCTTTGTGGAGTGAGTTTTATATCTAAATCTCTGCCACAACCCAGAGTCAAATGTTTAAAAATAGTCCTTACTGAAAGATTTGTTTTTAATAGAGGGAAAACTTCACGACTTATTTAATCGTCTTCGTTAACTTTCACCATAACGACTATATGATATTACTTGTCAAGTCGACTTTCATAATCATAATTTGTTTTTCGTTGCCTCGTCTCATCATTTCCCTATTGTTGCCTTGTCTCATCATTTCCCTATGTTGATATACTGTCCCTATTATTACCTTGTCTCATCATTTCCCTATGTTGATATACTGTCCCTATTGTTGCCTTGTCTCATCATTTCCCTATGTTGATATACTGTCCCTATTGTTGCCTTGTCTCATCATTTCCCTATGTTGATGTACTGTCCCTATTGTTGCCTCGTCTCATCATTTCCCTATGTTGATATACAGTCCCTATTGTTGCCTTGTCTCATTATTTCTCTATGTTGTTGTACTGTCCCTATTGTTACCTTGTCTCATCATTTCCCTATGTCGATGTACAGTCCCTATTGTTGCCTTGTCTCATCATTTCTCTACGTCGATGTACTGTCCCTATTGTTGCCTTGTCTCATCATTTCCCTATGTTGATGTACTGTCCCTATTGTTGCCTTGTCTCATCATTTCCCTATGTTGATGTACTGTCCTTATTGTTGCCTTGTCTCATCATTTCCCTATTGTTGCCATGTCTCATCATTTCCCTATGTTGATATACTGTCCCTATTGTTGCCTTGTCTCATCATTTCCCTATGTTGATGTACAGTCCCTATTGTTGCCTTGTCTCATCATTTCCCTATGTTGATGTACTGTCCTTATTGTTGCCTTGTCTCATCATTTCCCTATTGTTGCCTTGTCTCATCATTTCCCTATGTTGATGTACAGTCCCTATTGTTGCCTTGTCTCATCATTTCCCTATTGTTACCTTGTCTCATCATTTCTCTATGTTGTTGTACTGTCCCTATTGTTACCTTGTCTCATCATTTCCCTATGTCGATGTACAGTCCCTATTGTTGCCTTGTCTCATCATTTCTCTACGTCGATGTACTGTCCCTATTGTTGCCTTGTCTCATCATTTCCCTATGTTGATGTACTGTCCCTATTGTTGCCTTGTCTCATCATTTCCCTATGTTGATGTACTGTCCTTATTGTTGCCTTGTCTCATCATTTCCCTATTGTTGCCATGTCTCATCATTTCCCTATGTTGATATACTGTCCCTATTGTTGCCTTGTCTCATCATTTCCCTATGTTGATGTACAGTCCCTATTGTTGCCTTGTCTCATCATTTCCCTATGTTGATGTACTGTCCTTATTGTTGCCTTGTCTCATCATTTCCCTATTGTTGCCTTGTCTCATCATTTCCCTATGTTGATGTACTGTCCCTATTGTTGCCTTGTCTCATCATTTCCCTATGTTGATGTACTGTCCTTATTGTTGCCTTGTCTCATCATTTCCCTATTGTTGCCATGTCTCATCATTTCCCTATGTTGATATACTGTCCCTATTGTTGCCTTGTCTCATCATTTCCCTATGTTGATGTACAGTCCCTATTGTTGCCTTGTCTCATCATTTCCCTATGTTGATGTACTGTCCTTATTGTTGCCTTGTCTCATCATTTCCCTATTGTTGCCTTGTCTCATCATTTCCCTATGTTGATGTACAGTCCCTATTGTTGCCTTGTCTCATCATTTCCCTATTGTTACCTTGTCTCATCATTTCTCTATGTTGTTGTACTGTCCCTATTGTTACCTTGTCTCATCATTTCCCTATGTCGATGTACAGTCCCTATTGTTGCCTTGTCTCATCATTTCTCTACGTCGATGTACTGTCCCTATTGTTGCCTTGTCTCATCATTTCCCTATGTTGATGTACTGTCCCTATTGTTGCCTTGTCTCATCATTTCCCTATGTTGATGTACTGTCCTTATTGTTGCCTTGTCTCATCATTTCCCTATTGTTGCCATGTCTCATCATTTCCCTATTGATATTGCCATTGTTGCCTTGTCTCATCATTTCCCTATGTTGATGTACAGTCCCTATTGTTGCCTTGTCTCATCATTTCCCTATGTTGATGTACTGTCCCTATTGTTGCCTTGTCTCATCATTTCCCTATGTTGATGTACTGTCCTTATTGTTGCCTTGTCTCATCATTTCCCTATTGTTGCCTTGTCTCATCATTTCCCTATGTTGATGTACTGTCCCTATTGTTGCCTTGTCTCATCATTTCCCTATGTTGATGTACTGTCCTTATTGTTGCCTTGTCTCATCATTTCCCTATTGTTGCCATGTCTCATCATTTCCCTATGTTGATATACTGTCCCTATTGTTGCCTTGTCTCATCATTTCCCTATGTTGATGTACAGTCCCTATTGTTGCCTTGTCTCATCATTTCCCTATGTTGATGTACTGTCCTTATTGTTGCCTTGTCTCATCATTTCCCTATTGTTGCCTTGTCTCATCATTTCCCTATGTTGATGTACAGTCCCTATTGTTGCCTTGTCTCATCATTTCCCTATTGTTACCTTGTCTCATCATTTCTCTATGTTGTTGTACTGTCCCTATTGTTTCCTTGTCTCATCATTTCCCTATGTAGATGTACAGTCCCTATTGTTGCCTTGTCTATTGTTGATGTACTGTCCCTATTGTTGCCTTGTCTCATCATTTCCCTATGTTGATGTACTGTCCCTATTGTTGCCTTGTCTCATCATTTCCCTATGTTGATGTACTGTCCTTATTGTTGCCTTGTCTCATCATTTCCCTATTGTTGCCATGTCTCATCATTTCCCTATGTTGATATACTGTCCCTATTGTTGCCTTGTCTCATCATTTCCCTATGTTGATGTACAGTCCCTATTGTTGCCTTGTCTCATCATTTCCCTATGTTGATGTACTGTCCTTATTGTTGCCTTGTCTCATCATTTCCCTATTGTTGCCTTGTCTCATCATTTCCCTATGTTGATGTACAGTCCCTATTGTTGCCTTGTCTCATCATTTCCCTATTGTTACCTTGTCTCATCATTTCCCTATGTCGATGTACAGTCCCTATTGTTGCCTTGTCTCATCATTTCACTAAGTAGATGTACTGTCCCTATTGTTGCCTTGTCTCATCATTTCCCTATGTTGATGTACTGTCCCTATTGTTGCCTTGTCTCATCATTTCCCTATGTTGATATACTGTCCCTATTGTTGCATTGTCTCATCATTTCCCTATTGTTGCCTTGTCTCATCATTTCCCTATGTTGATGTACTGTCCTTATTGTTGCCTTGTCTCATCATTTCCCTATGTTGATGTACTGTCCTTATTGTTGCCTTGTCTCATCATTTCCCTATGTTAATGTACTGTCCTCATTGTTGCCTTGTCTCATCATTTCCTATGTTGATGTACTGTCCCTATTGTTACCTTGTCTCATCATTTCCCTATGTTGATGTACTGTCCTTATTGTTGCCTTGTCTCATCATTTCCCTATTGTTGCCATGTCTCATCATTTCCCTATGTTGATATACTGTCCCTATTGTTGCCTTGTCTCATCATTTCCCTATTGTTGCCTTGTCTCATCATTCCCCTATTGTTGCCTTGTCTCATCATTTCCCTATTGTTGCCTTGTCTCATCATTCCCCTATTGTTGCCTTGTCTCATCATTGCCCTATGTTACCTTGTCTCATCATTTCTCTATGTCGATGTACAGTCCCTATTGTTACCTTGTCTCATCATTTCTCTATGTCGATGTACAGTCCCTATTGTTGCCTTGTCTCATCATTTCTCTGCGTCGATGTACTGTCCCTATTGTTGCCTTGTCTCATCATTTCCCTATGTTGATGTACTGTCCCTATTGTTGCCTTGTCTCATCATTTCCCTATGTTGATATACTGTCCCTATTGTTGCATTGTCTCATCATTTCCCTATTGTTACCTTGTCTCATCATTTCCCTATTGTTGCCTTGTCTCATCATTTCCCTATGTTGATTTACTGTCCCTATTGTTGCCTTGCCTCATCATTTCCCTATGTTGACGTAGTGTCCCATAATTCCTCTGTTTCGTTGTCGTTGTATCCTACCTCCATGCCATGCTCTTCCGACTTCCCCGTAAAATCCATTATTGTCTCATTAAATTCCTTAATGTTGTTTTAAGCCTATTTCTAACATAGGTTTAACCTTAATTGTCCTTTGGGTATCATTTCGTTGCTTATCGAGACTTTTATCGGAAATATCATTTGGTTTCTGAAATCCTTGAAGGCAGAACTCTTACAAAACACTCCACTGAGAAAAAGGAATCAGATGTTTTCAATGAGTAAAGGCCTCAACAAAATAGGTATCGTCATACTCCGAAATCGGATGAAATAACTGCATGTTGTCTTCTACATAGATAAACTGTTATCTCCTTATCTAATCATGGTGGAAATGTATAAAGTTGATTTCGTCTTCTAAACCTTTTGTTGTGTAGTACACAAGTGGTTAGATGAAGTAGGTTTTACTTTCTTAATTATAATGTGTTACGAGAGGTTTAGTAATATACATGTACGAACTGTTGATAAATTCCCATTTCTTTTCCTAGAACAAATTGTAACTAGTATACAATCTTTCCAACAGGAAAAAGCACTCAACAATTCTCACAGAAGAGGAGTTAGAATGCTACTTCCAATCCAAGGTAGAAAACTCTATAAATGTAAACGTTATCTTGTAATATCCAGGTATTTGGCTACAATCCGATTTCCTGTATAGACATATTGATTTAATTAAACGCTAGCTTCATTATACTTTATACCTTTCTGTTGATAGAAAAATCCATGAAATATATGCAGCTAAGTTAATTGTTTATATTTGCCTTTTTCTTGCCATTTTCATCATCAGCTGATGTTTCTACAATGTCCTCTATACTATACTGTGTTAGAGAAACTACCAAGGGTCGGTGCAAGAGGTAAGGTAAGTGAGATTTTCCTTCTAATCCTATGATCTCCTCACTACTGTACTCTATTAGAGAAACTACCAAGGACTGGTGCTGGTGTCAGGGTAACTAGCTTCTTGTCCTATCAATGTTTTACAATGTTATAGTTGAAGTGGTACCGACCAAGGTATGAAAACATATGGTTTCTTTTTGTGTGCAGAGCCAACGGTTTCTTGGCTCAAATATCTCGGTAACAATTTCCCGTGTATAGATAACATCTAGGTTTACAATCTTAAAGAAGTATATAGTTTTAAGGAGCTTGATCGACACATATAAACTTTGTAACGTGTGTATTTGTAAATATTTAGACCCTGCTAGAGTTATCTCCCTTGTCATGTGTTCTAACTGAAATAGCCGAAGGAAATATTGATTGAAAGTTAATTCTGTCTTCTATATCAGGCTCTACCGAAATATTTCAAATGATGAAACAAAAGTATATATTCAGTAAAAGAATGTTGCAAAAAAATCTATACGCTATATATATATATGATTACAGAAATTATCAAAAGCTGCGCTGTCTACTTTCAAGTTATTTGTTTCTTAAATATATTATATGTTTGTAAAAATTGACATAAATGTATAATACAGTACACATTTAATCTCATCTGAAACAATGAACTTTGTGACAACGAATTTTCAGAAATATTTTTTCTGAAAATTTCTTCGAATTCGTGTCCATGGAGATATGGTTAAAACATTTATCATCTTGGTGTAACATTTACTTTGGAAGTCATCGCTTATGTTCTAAATCCTGTATACGTAACAAACATTCTGTATGATACATTATGATACTGTTCTGTATGATACATTATGATATTGTTATGTGTATGATACATTATGATACTGTTATGTGTATGATACATTATGATACTGTTATGTATGATACAGTATGATAATGTTCTGTATGATACATTATGATACTGTTATGTGTATGATACATTATGATACTGTTATGTATGATACATTATGATACTGTTCTGTATGATACATTATGATAATGTTATGTGTATGATACATTATGATACTGTTTGTGTATGATACATTATGATAATGTTCTGTATGATACATTATGATACTGTTATGTGTATGATACATTATGATACTGTTCTGTTCTGTATGTATGATACATTATGATACTGTTCTGTATGATACATTATGATACTGTTCTGTATGATACATTATGATACTGTGTATGATACATTATGATACTGTTTGTATGTATGATACTGTTCTGTATGATACATTATGATACTGTTATGTATGATACATTATGATACTGTTCTGTATGATACATTATGATACTGTTCTGTATGATACATTATGATACTGTTCTGTATGATACATTATGATAATGTTATGTGTATGATACATTATGATACTGTTCTGTATGATACATTATGATACTGTTATGTATGATACATTATGATACTGTTCTGTATGATACATTATGATACTGTTCTGTATGTATGATACATTATGATACTGTTATGTATGATACAGTATGATACTGTTATGTATGATACATTATGATACTGTTCTGTATGGTATTCTGTATGATACATTATGATACTGTTATGTGTATGATATTCTGTATGATACATTATGAAACTGTTCTGTATGATACATTATGATACTGTTATGTGTATGATACATTATGATACTGTTATGTATGATACAGTATGATAATGTTCTGTATGATACATTATGATACTGTTCTGTATGATACATTATGATAATGTTCTGTATGATATTCTGTATGATACATTATGATACTGTTCTTTATGATATTCTGTATGATACATTATGATACTGTTATGTGTATGATACATTATGAAACTGTTATGTATGATACATTATGATACTGTTCTGTATGATACATTATGATACTGTTATGTGTATGATACATTATGATACTGTTATGTGTATGATACATTATGATACTGTTCTGTATGATACAGTATGATACTGTTATGTATGATACATTATGATACTGTTATGTGTATGATACATTATGATACTGTTCTGTATGATACAGTATGATACTGTTCTGTATGATACATTATGATACTGTTCTGTATGATACATTATGATACTGTTATGTGTATGATACATTATGATACTGTTATGTGTATGATACATTATGATACTGTTATGTGTATGATACATTATGATACTGTTCTGTATGATACATTATGATACTGTTCTGTATGATACATTATGATACTGTTATGTGTATGATACATTATGAAACTGTTATGTATGATACATTATGATACTGTTCTGTATGATACATTATGATACTGTTCTGTATGATACATTATGATACTGTTATGTGTATGATACATTATGATATTGTTATGTGTATGATACATTATGATACTGTTCTGTATGATACAGTATGATACATTATGATACAGTTCTGTATGATACATTATGATACTGTTCTGTATGATACATTATGATACTGTTATGTGTATGATACATTATGAAACTGTTATGAATGATACATTATGATACTGTTCTGTATGATACATTATGATACATTATGATACTGTTATGTGTATGATACATTATGATACTGTTATGAGTATGATACATTATGATACTGTTCTGTATGATATTCTGTATGATACATTATGTTACTGTTCTGTATGATACAGTATGATACTGTTCTGTATGATACATTATGATACTGTTCTGTATGATATTCTGTATGATACATTATGATACCGTTCTGTATGATACATTATGATAATGTTCTGTATGATACATTATGATACTGTTATGTGTATGACACATTATGATACTGTTATGTGTATGATATTCTGTATGATATATTATGATACTGTTCTGTATGATACAGTATGATACTGTTCTGTATGATACATTATGATAATGTTCTGTATGATATTCTGTATGATACAGTATGATACTGTTATGTGTATGATACATTATGATACTGTTCTGTATGGTATTCTGTATGATACATTATGATACTGTTCTGTATGATATTCTGTATGATACAGTTCTGTGTGATATTCTGTATGATGCATTATGATATTTTTCTGTATGATACATTATGATAATGTTCTGTATGATATTCTGTATGATACAGTATGATACTGTTCTGTATGATATTTTGTATAATACAGTATCATACTGTTATGTGTATGATACATTATGATATTGTTCTGTGTGATATTCTGTATGATACAGTATGATAATGTTCTGTATGATATTCTGTATGATACAGTATGATACTGTTCTGTATGATACATTATGATAATGTTCTGTATGATACATTATGATACTGTTCTGTATGATACATTATGATACTGTTATGTGTATGATATTCTGTATGATACATTATGATACTGTTCTGTATGATACATTATGATACTGTTCAGCATGATACAGTATGATAATGTTCTGTATGATACAGTATGATACTGTTCTGTATGATACATTATGATACTGTTCTGTATGATACATTATGATACTGTTCTGTATGATACATTATGATACTGTTATGTGTATGATATTCTGTATGATACATTATGATACTGTTCTGTATGATACATTATGATACTGTTCTGTATGATACATTATGATACTGTTATGTGTATGATACATTATGATACTGTATGTATGACATTATGATAAACTGTTCTGTATGATACATTATGATACTGTTATGTGTATGATGTATGATACATTATGATACTGTTCTGTATGATACAGTATGATAATGTTCTGTATGATATTGTGTATGATACTGTTCTGTATAATATTATGTATGATACATTATGATACTGTTATGTGTATGACACATTATGATACTGTTATGTGTATGATACATTATGATACTGTTATGTGTATGACACATTATGATACTGTTCTGTATGATACAGTATGATAATGTTCTGTATGATACATTATGATACTGTTATGTGTATGATACATTATGATACTGTTATGTGTATGATATTCTGTATGATACTGTTCTGTATGATATTCTGTATGATACAGTATGATACTGTTCTGTATGATACAGTATGATAATGTTCTGTATGATACAGTATGATACTGTTCTGTATGATACATTATGATAATGTTCTGTATGATATTCTGTATGATATTCTGTATGAGGATGTTTTCCTGCTTTATATTCCCTAGTCCATTGTTATATAATATGTTGTAGTTATTTGATTAACATTTTACATTTTTGGTAGGTACATCTTGCGAAACTAAAGGAAATGGCTACAAAGCGGATCGCAACAGACAACAAGGAAGAACAATGGAACAGATGAACTCATCTAACTGGGATTTCTAACTATATGTCTTCCCTACACTAAGATTCCATGTATCGTCAAGGATGGAATGGTTTTGACATAAGTTGAGCCTTCTAGATTAGTTACATTGTTTAATGTAACTTCTTATCCTAAACGCTCAATTAATTTTTCCTGTAAGTCGGACTGGAAATTTACAGCGGTAGAATTAATTTGTGACCGAAAGTGTTTCCATGGTATTCGTCCATTGACAAGGAATGACGATAAACAATTACGACATATAACTGTTGTAAAATATTGTATATTGAAAATGAATTTATAATAAGACAATTTTCATGTCTGTTACAAACTATACTTGGCAGCATCGTGAATGGTAGAAGTTACTAGTCATTTAAAACTTGATGACTTTTTACCATGTACTATTGCGATAAACATAACTTACTATTCTATGTTTTGCAAACAAGTTAAGAATGTAAGCCTTTATGAAGTAAAAAATCAGTATCAAGCTTTTTGCTGATGCTCGTTTTTAGAAAGGTTTTATTTTAGGAAGTAGGTAAAAAGCAAAAAATGTAAATCGTGATCATCATGTTGCCGCGCTACTTGTCCGATACAGCCGCCAGAATATATGGAACATGGAGTATTTCATTTTTACATAGTACTTTGAATTGTTTATAGTTACTGAAGGCTGTATACTCTGTCTATAGCAAACGCTCTGTACATATAATATATATTGTCTATTGAAATAATGTCCTGACTATATCAATGGTCTTTTGTTCTGTGTGTCTCCATTGTTCCTTTACATTGAGCTCAAGGTCTGTGTTTAGACGAATGTTTATGATTCGTGTAACACAGTTAGTTATTACATTTAGCCAGTGACGGATCGCGCCATGAACAGCCACAGCTAGGTTGCCGCCATATTTTCATTCGCGTAATAGATTTTCAAAGGCTAAAATATTTCTCAACGTTTTCAGCAAATCCTGTCTGTTAATGGTATGAATAAGTAACATTTTTGTGTGAACAGAAAAATGAATTTACATCAAAACATTTTCGTATGCATATGTTTTCATTAATTTGAAATAGGTCGGACTATATTTTGTTGCGTACTGCGAAGTGATAATGAGCGAATAATGTCTGCGCCAGCTTCGTCCTTTTACATCAGTCCTAGATATGCCAGTGACTTGGCTATTTTGCTTGTGAAAATGTGATAGATATCATATTTAATAGTGTCTTTAATGACAACAAATATTATTCACTCGAGTGTCTAATAGTTTTGTATCTTACACTCCTGCTACGTATTCGTGAAAGATACTAAAATACCAACATGTAAACATAATTATAATCAAAATTCAAATTCCATAAACCTAGGGCAAAACATAATATAAGATTTACACGGAGACTCCTCTCAAAGTACTAGGATAATAAGACCATGTGTTCCGGAAGGGTAAACGTCTTTTGCTACATCGACGACGCTCGCCATTTAAATCATAGTCAAGTAGATAACGTCGAGTTGAATAAGAACAAAGTATACAAAAATGGAATCAAGACTAATGAGCATCAAACAAGTCCAGCTTCACATCACACAAAGAAATACATTTTGTATCAATGAGCTCACTATGACGACCTTAAAAACTTCCCAATAATTTTCATCAATCTGCACTGAAACACTGTTTAACGAGTTTATCCGTCAATTGACGACTTCTTGCACGAAAAATAATGGGAAAGGCCATTGAATATCGAATCATCTGCGAAATGTAAACACCATAGGTTGGGGAGGCAGGGTTGCTGCTATCCAGAAATGGAGCGTTTTTATTAGAAAAATAGAAATCATCATGTTTGTCATACAGATTGGTGGAAAGTTGTCCATTTTGGTGTCGTTGTAGGAAAAGATTTAATATATGTGACTGATGCAGAGGAGTTGTGTCTTTGACTTCCAAACCTGGTGGGTATATACCCACTTATGTAGATTCACTAAACCTGTTAACATGGTGCGAAATAATTGTCTTGTTTGATCAAGTAATGTTTCACACACATATATACTTACAGATGATGAGACACATGTTAATAAATAATATTATGAAGAGTTGTTGTCTTACTTATTCATCATGTAAATTTTGAAATACGCACTATAAACAATAATATACCCAGTGAAGTCATTACCTTTAAGAGCGAGAAAAGAGCAGATGATATGACCAAGTCATTATCTTTCTGTGTGCCAGTTACACATCAGCGTTTAAAAGAGATCGACATCCTCCATTATTGTAACTCTAGAGTGTGGAACAATAGCTGAGGCACCAGCTAGTATAACTGGTTTACAATAGTAGATCGGGTTACAATACGTCTTCCTATATTTTCTGACTTTTAAATTTTAAAACCTTTTGCTGAGAAGATACTAGTTTTGGCGCAATCAAATTTTAGAGTTAGAGTTTAGAGTTAATCATCAAGAATTTTGGTCTTCTGAGCAATTGAGTTTGGCGCTTAGAGGCAGTTGTGGTGTTTACTTTTTTGGCAGAAGTCGGTGCACAAATTTTAGATTTTGACGATCTAAAGCCTTTTTCAACAATCACATTTTAATTTTTTATTGAAATTGCCACTCTATTAAACGCATAATTTTTAGTGATATGATGAAATAAATATCAAATATTCAATGCTAAATAGTAAACAGTATATACGACATCTATTCAATTTATACCAATTAGTAATCGTGGTATATACATATACACCACACAGTAAATTCACAATCATCAGAAACATAAGGGCATTTTTAAGCCTTTCAGAATTGGTGTACTTTATTATAATATCAAACCATGCCTAGTTATATATATATATATTACCTTGTTTTATTGCGTTTTAGTTCAGATTATCATTCTGTTGACATTTTGGCGTTAAAAAGGTTTTGGTAATTGATAGGTGTTATATATCATTACTATAACTTGAAAGAGGATTTCTTTATCGGAACAACAAAGATGATATAAAGACATTATCCGCTCTTCAAATGAATTTTCAGTATTCATATGCCCAACGGCATGCTATTCCCTATTAGTCTAAAGAAAGTAAGTACATCAGTAATGAACTTATACATGCTAGGCAGTGACATCAAATCATAAAAATTTCAGAAATTTCAGAGCTTGCTTTCAAACCCGCAGGAAAAGGTAAATTAAAGAGATGTTAACCTGGATTTCCAATTCCCGTCATTGATACCAATGTTTTCCGTAATGTCTATGCCGGTATTCGATTTCCCTCTTCTCATACCAGTGCAGTAAGGTCAGTGTAGCCCACAGCTTTCACACATTTACTGCAGCAGCCCAGGTAGTCTGAAATATCATATGAAAAAATTGTGTCAAATTGTTACGGCGACATGGTACAATATACTTATATACTGATACGGTCATTTCATCCCACTGGTATTTGTTTTAAACTCACAGACCCCTGAATATGGCCTTAGTCTTGGCCATGGAAACATGAGTAAACGAATACATTTTCCGATAACATAATTATGTCATTTTGTCTTTTTATTGTTATTTCATATTTTTGATCGACCTTTAAAGAGGAAATTTTTAATTATATAACATTTTCTGGTTGTGTCCTGTGGATAAGGCCTACCAGTTATTCACCTTTTGTTTTCCTACCCATCTTTCTGATGTCTCATTATGCTAAACCTAGCTTTTGACCCAAGAGTGTACGAGTTTTGTTGCCTGACCGAGGTAAACCAAATCATATGAAATCGGTATTTGATGTTTTCAGTCCAACGTTTGGATTTCGTTGAGTGATAAAAACTGTTTGGCCTCGTTATCAGTATGACATGAACGTAGCCCTCAATTGACTCCAATCAAGCAAGCTTTTGGTATCAATAGAATCCTCCGTATTGTAAGTATGTTTATTCAACACACATGTACTTGATCTATTCGACCTGTATTCTATCAATATCGTTTCATATTAAACACATTTCAGAGGTGAAGTCATGACTACAAACGACACATACACCACGCAGTTAATTCGCAATTGACAGGACACAAACACCACGTAGTAAATTCACAATCATAAGACACATTCACCACGCAGTAAATTCACAATTGACAGGACATATACACCACGCAGTAAATTCACATTTGACAGGACACATACACCACGCAGTAAATTCACATTTGACAGGACATATACACGACGCAGTAAATTCACAATCAATAGGACACATTCACCACGCAGTAAATTCACAATTGACAGGACATATATTCACAATCAACAGGACACATACACCATGCAGTATATTCACAATCAACAGGACATATACACCTCGCAGTAAATTCACAACTGACAGGACATATACACGACGCAGTAAATTCACAATCAACAGGACACATACACCATGCAGTAAATTCACAATCAACAGGACACATACACCTCGCAGTAAATTCACAACTGACAGGACATATACACCACGCAGTATATTCACAATCAATAGGACACATACACCATGCAGTATATTCACAATCAACAGGACATATACACCACGCAGTATATTCACAATCAACAGGACACATACACCATGCAGTAAATTCACAATCAACAGGACACATACACCTCGCAGTAAATTCACATTTGACAGGACATATACACCACGCAGTAAATTCACAATTGACAGGACATATACACCACGCAGTATATTCACAATCAACAGGACACATACACCACGCAGTATATTCACAATCAACAGGACACATACACCACGCAGTATATTCACAATCAACAGGACACATACACCACGCAGTATATTCACAATCAACAGGACACATACACCACGCAGTATATTCACAATCAACAGGACACATACACCACGCAGTATATTCACAATCAACAGGACACATACACCATGCAGTAAATTCACAATCAACAGGACACATACACCTCGCAGTAAATTCACATTTGACAGGACATATACACCACGCAGTAAATTCACAATTGACAGGACATATACACCACGCAGTATATTCACAATCAACAGGACACATACACCACGCAGTATATTCACAATCAACAGGACACATACACCACGCAGTATATTCACAATCAACAGGACACATACACCACGCAGTATATTCACAATCAACAGGACACATACGCCACGCAGTATATTCACAATCAACAGGACACATACACCATGCAGGACACTCACCATAGTTAGAACACTTATTTTTTTCTCGTTTTGGAATACAATGTAATTGTTTATATTATTGTTTGTTGTAAAAATGAATGGAAATTGACAAATGGAAGTGCCAAGAGGGAATATCTTTTTTAACATTTTGTCTTGTTTTCTACATTAATAAGATCAGAAAGATAAGGCCGTACGAATGTAACAAAGAGGTATATAGGCCCCTTGTGCTGTATAAGACGACGGATAGGCAACCCTGAACGTTGGAGAGTTAAATAGATTTCTGTTTGGATTTAAACCAAACAAAATGTTTGACACGAAATTACAGACAGCCATTCAGACAAGTATATGGAGAAGATCAGCAAGACAATTGTGCATTCGACTGTTCACGAAACCACACTTTTAAATATGACAAAAGCAAATAATGCTTTGACGAAGTGACAAATCAGGTGCAAAAGTGTGTCAGAAAAAGTCACCATGGGAAACAGCAAGAAAAATAAATCATAAACCATATTTTTTTTTGGACAGAAACATAAGGGCATTTTTAAGCCTTTCAGAATTGGTGTACTTTATTATAATATCAAACCATGCCTAGTTTTTTTTTTATATATATATTACCTTGTTTTATTGCGTTTTAGTTCAGATTATCATTCTGTTGACATTTTGGCGTTAAAAAGGTTTTGGTAATTGATAGGTGTTGTATATCATTACTATAACTTGAAAGAGGATTTCTTTATCGGAACAACAAAGATGATATAAAGACATTATCCGCTCTTCAAATGAATTTTCAGTACAGATCATATGCCCAACGGCATGCTATTCCCTATTAGTCTAAAGAAAGTAAGTACATCAGTAATGAACTTATACATGCTAGGCAGTGACATCAAATCATACACATGTCACTGCTTATTTCAAAATCTGAAAAAAAAAATATGAATATATTGATTTAACATCGAGAATGACCATGTTGCTGAAATTTCAGAGCTTGCTTTCAAACCCGCAGGAAAAGGTAAATTAAAGAGATGTTAACCTGGATTTCCATTCCCGTCATTGATACCAATGTTTTCCGTAATGTCATGCCGGTATTCGATTTCCCTCTTCTCATACCAGTACAATAAGGTCAGTGTAACCCACAGAATCAAAACCAGGATGATCACAGCTTTCACACATTTACAGCAGCAGCCCAGGTAGTCTGAAATATCATATGAAAAAATTGTGTCAAATTGTTACGGCGACATGGTACAATATACTTATATACTGATACGGTCATTTCATCCCACTCGTATTTGTTTTAAACTCACAGACCCCTGAATATGGCCTTAGTCTTGGCCATGGAAACATGAGTAAACGAATACATTTTCCGATAACATAATTATGTCATTTTGTCTTTTTATTGTTATTTCATATTTTTGACGACCTTTAAAGAGGAAATTTTTAATTATATAACATTTTCTGGTTGTGTCCTGTGGATAAGGCCTACCAGTTATTCACCTTTTGTTTTCCTACCCATCTTTCTGATGTCTCATTATGCTAAACCTAGCTTTTGACCCTAAGTGTGTACGACTGACAGGTAAACCAAATCATATGAAATCGGTATTTGATGTTTTCAGTCCAACGTTTGGATTTCGTTGAGTGATAAAAACTGTTTGGCCTCGTTATCAGTATGACATGAACGTAGCCCTCAATTGACTCCAATCAAGCAAGCTTTTGGTATCAATAGAATCCTCCGTATTGTAAGTATGTTTATTCAACACACATGTACTTGATCTATTCGACCTGTATTCTATCAATATCGTTTCATATTAAACATATTTCAGAGGTGAAGTCATGACTACAAAAGACACATACACCACGCAGTTAATTCGCAATTGACAGGACACATACACCACGTAGTAAATTCACAATCATAAGACACATTCACCACGCAGTAAATTCACAATTGACAGGACACATACACCACGTAGTAAATTCACAATCATAAGACACATACACCACGCAGTAAATTCACAATTGACAGGACATATACACCACGCAGTAAATTCACAATTGACAGGACACATACACCACGCAGTAAATTCACAATTGACGGGACATATACACCACGCAGTATATTCACAATCAACAGGACATATACACCACGCAGTATATTCACAATCAACAGGACACATACATCACGCAGTAAATTCACAATCAACAGGACACATACACCATGCAGTATATTCACAATCAACAGGACACATACACCTCGCAGTAAATTCACAATCAACAGGACACATACACCATGCTGTAAATTCACAATCAACAGGACACATACACCATGCAGTAAATTCACAATCAACAGGACACATACACCTCGCAGTAAATTCACATTTGACAGGACATATACACCACGCAGTAAATTCACAACTGACAGGACATATACACCATGCAGTATATTCACAATCAACAGGACATATACACCACGCAGTATATTCACAATCAACAGGACACATACACCATGCAGTATATTCACAATCAACAGGACACATACACCATGCAGTATATTCACAATCAACAGGACACATACACCATGCAGTAAATTCACAATCAACAGGACACATACACCTCGCAGTAAATTCACATTTGACAGGACATATACACCACGCAGTAAATTCACAATTGACGGGACATATACACCACGCAGTATATTCACAATCAACAGGACACATACACCATGCAGTATATTCACAATCAACAGGACACATACACCACGCAGTATATTCACAATCAACAGGACACATACACCACGCAGTATATTCACAATCAACAGGACACATACACCACGCAGTATATTCACAATCAACAGGACACATACACCATGCAGGACACTCACCATAGTTAGAACACTTATTTTTTTCTCGTTTTGGAATACAATGTAATTGTTTATATTATTGTTTGTTGTAAAAATGAATGGAAATTGACAAATGGAAGTGCCAAGAGGGAATATCTTTTTTAACATTTTGTCTTGTTTTCTACATTAATAAGATCAGAAAGAAAATGCCGTACGAATGTAACAAAGAGGTATATAGGCCCCTTGTGCTGTATAAGACGACGGATAGGCAACCCTGAACGTTGGAGAGTTAAATAGATTTCTGTTTGGATTTAAACCAAACAAAATGTTTGACACGAAATTACAGACAGCCATTCAGACAAGTATATGGAGAAGATCAGTAAGACAATTGTGCATTCGACTGTTCACGAAACCACACTTTTAAATATGACAAAAGCAAATAATGTTTTGACGAAGTGACAAATCAGGTGCAAAAGTGTGTCAGAAAAAGTCACCATGGGAAACAGAAGAAAAATAAATCATAAACCATATTTTTGTTTGGACAGAAACATAAGGGCATTTTTAAGCCTTTCAGAATTGGTGTACTTTATTATAATATCAAACCATGCCTAGTTATATATATATATATTACCTTGTTTTATTGCGTTTTAGTTCAGATTATCATTCTGTTGACATTTTGGCGTTAAAAAGGTTTTGGTAATTGATAGGTGTTATATATCATTACTATAACTTGAAAGAGGATTTCTTTATCGGAACAACAAAGATGATATAAAGACATTATCCGCTCTTCAAATGAATTTTCAGTATTCATATGCCCAACGGCATGCTATTCCCTATTAGTCTAAAGAAAGTAAGTACATCAGTAATGAACTTATACATGCTAGGCAGTGACATCAAATCATACACATGTCACTGCTTATTTCAAAATCTGAAAAAAAATATGAATATATTGATTTAACATCGAAAATGACCATGTTGCTGAAATTTCAGAGCTTGCTTTCAAACCCGCAGGAAAAGGTAAATTAAAGAGATGTTAACCTGGATTTCCAATTCCCGTCATTGATACCAATGTTTTCCGTAATGTCTATGCCGGTATTCGATTTCCCTCTTCTCATACCAGTACAATAAGGTCAGTGTAACCCACAGAATCAAAACCAGGATGATCACAGCTTTCACACATTTACAGCAGCAGCCCAGGTAGTCTGAAATATCATATGAAAAAATTGTGTCAAATTGTTACGGCGACATGGTACAATATACTTATATACTGATACGGTCATTTCATCCCACTGGTATTTGTTTTAAACTCACAGACCCCTGAATATGGCCTTAGTCTTGGCCATGGAAACATGAGTAAACGAATACATTTTCCGATAACATAATTATGTCATTTTGTCTTTTTATTGTTATTTCATATTTTTGATCGACCTTTAAAGAGGAAATTTTTAATTATATAACATTTTCTGGTTGTGTCCTGTGGATAAGGCCTACCAGTTATTCACCTTTTGTTTTCCTACCCATCTTTCTGATGTCTCATTATGCTAAACCTAGCTTTTGACCCTAAGTGTGTACGAGTTTTGTTGCCTGACCGAGGTAAACCAAATCATATGAAATCGGTATTTGATGTTTTCAGTCCAACGTTTGGATTTCGTTGAGTGATAAAAACTGTTTGGCCTCGTTATCAGTATGACATGAACGTAGCCCTCAATTGACTCCAATCAAGCAAGCTTTTGGTATCAATAGAATCCTCCGTATTGTAAGTATGTTTATTCAACACACATGTACTTGATCTATTCGACCTGTATTCTATCAATATCGTTTCATATTAAACACATTTCAGAGGTGAAGTCATGACTACAAAAGACATACACATGAAAAACATTTTGATAAAAATTAGAAATCTAGAAATTTCTACCTTCAGGACTGTGACTATGGTCGAAAGTTCGAATCCTGCGGGGTAGATACGAAAATTTCAACATTATTTCAATACATTCCACAGGAAATTAAAGTGTATGTGTAATAGGGTCAGGCTGATAAAACTCGATGATGTACCAATGACAGGGGTTACGTGGAAAGTCTTGTTTTAACAATTTCCGTGTCGAATTTCCTTAATCATTTTGACTCAATAGATTACTTAACACGGACTACTTAAATATGTGAATTTAAAGAGTACGGATATGGTTGCTTGTACCTCTCAAGAAGTCCTACCATTCATGTGAGCCATACCTATAATGGTTATACATTGAGATTTATTCATATCAGTCATTTCTTGTTGAGCAGATAATGTCTTATCTTTTTTATGATATAATAGGGTATGTGTCGTCAATCTCTATCAAAAGACACCGTTTAACTAAAAAAGGCAGGTCAGTGATTGGAATCAAGCTTATTACTTGATGTACATTAACATCGATCACCACTCTACCGTTTGTGGTTAACGTATAAATCGACAGTCTGTTAGACAATAATACAACCAAATATACTCCACCCTGCTTTCATGTCGAAACTTGAATCACAGTCGTCAGTTAAGGAGAGATAAAAACGTAAACAAAATAATAAATCTATTTATATTTTCCAGTAATGTTCATTTTCCAGACCTCTAATATTTCTATTTTCTTCATTTCTAGCCGTTTAGAGAAACGTTAGTTTGTTGGAGGATCGCTAACTCTAACTGAATTCGTCTTTATATAAGGTCTTAAAAGCTTTTGTTTGCTATTATAAATGAATAATCTACAGCCTGAGTTAATATCATTCTCTTTTTATAACGTTCTTTTCTACATTTTTGCAGCTCATTATTTTAATAAGGGAATGGTTTCCTCGAATCCGGACATATTGGCCCTCGTTTTCTGTGGAAAATTGAGGGAAGAATCGATTAGGATCAAACTCAAGGCAGTCGATGTCTACTTCTGATATTTTCCCAGCAGATTCCAGTTTTTTTTATAAACATACAATCTCCTGTTACCATTTATCACAAATCATTTTCGTTCATGACGCATTACTTCCATGCAGGGAAGGTCACTGATACGGACGTGATCACAAAGGATATCCATTCGAAAATCGGCAGCTTATGCTGTCTTGAGTGAAGCGTAAATCAGACGGGCGAAGTTTAAAAACGCCAACCATATTGTCTCAATTGGGAACCCTCGACACTTTAAGCAAGCGAGAAAATACTCGCTTGCGGAAAGTGCCGAGGGTTCCCGATTGCATATTGTTTACGTATTGTTCCATACTTTCGGTTTGTAGAGAAAGGCTATTGTTGTTTTTCTATTCATTATTGGTCCTAGATTTATTCTATGATTATTTTTTTTTCAATTAACATCGAATATTACATGTATAAACTAAGTGTACTGGAAGAAATACACCTTTCTATGCTGTAATTCAAAATGTGTGTCAATAAAGTTTGAATATAGAAATATACAACTATGTTTACTGGGATAAATTTCTAAATTTATAAAAACATCTCTACTGACACTTTCATACTCCGATATAAAGGAAATTCTGACATAGAATTTAAACTATCGTTAATCATACGATATTAACTGTACAAATGTGTATGCTTATACAGAACACGCCGTACGTGTTTTCTAGCTATCGTTTTCAAACCTCACGTCCTCTTTTGTTTTGCAGGGATTTTTTATCATTCTTTAAGCTTACATACACTGATGTCAAGAGTGCAATGTTGATAAGAATGACAGCAAATTTTTCGCTAGAAGTCTCGCTTATCATTTTCACACATCAGGTAAACTGTTTATTTCTCTTTAACAGAATAATGTTTTATATTGTTGTTTTTTAGAAAGCCAGATAAGTAACTTTATTTAGGCTGGATATAAAATGTTGCAATTGTAAAATTAAGGATGGGTTGATGATGAATGATCAAACAGTTTGTTAAAGACATACAGTGTTGTGTACAGAAGAATTTCAACATTCGATATAGGCGATAGTAAGATACAATTTCTCTTTTAAACGACTTTTCGTAAACAGCTCGGAAATAGGTCATACAACAATAGATTGTGAGGGGCCATGTTATAGTGAATAAATATTGGGTCCTTGTAGTGTTGTCTAGATGCATCATTTTTGTTTTAGATTTAGATAATCTACGCTGTTGCCACGTTCATGGCAAACATTGGTCATTTAAATAAAAGGCAGCTAAGGCATTAGCTTAATTTATGTATCGGAAACACTATACAAGATATTTTTATTGTCAATTTTTTTGTTCAATAGATATACGAGTTATTTCCCTTGATTTTCTTTCCAAAAATAACTAAGAGTTATGTCCCTTGAATTAGAGGGTCATCTGATTGGTCAGTTACTTTCGCGCGGATGCTGAGACCCCTCTCATAACGCAGCCATCTTTAATTGTATCAATACGTAGTTCAATTAGTGGATTGGATTTGCATTTGTTATGCAAAATTTACCCACCCACTTCCACCCTATTGTCTCTTCTATAGTAACGTTATTTATTATCAGCAATTGTGGCGGTTATTTTTTTGTTAACCCCACATTGGCTTTTTATTATAATTACTAAAAAATAATCTTTTGTTCATTTTACGGTTTTTGTAACTGTAAGATTTGTCACTCTCTCTGTAAGGGTGGCCTTTTTCATTCATACTCATTGTTGTGTCGTTTCTTGTCGTAGTGTGCAGATACATAAATGACAATTAACGGAAACAATCTTTGTTAGTAATCAAAACCACACCGAACCAGCTGTGAAGTTTTTTTCTTTGTCGATCAATAACATTATACCACAGATGTATTTGGCTATACGTAATGGGTAACACGTGATGTAGCAAACGTTCACCTTGTCGCCAACGAAATCTTCCTACTATGATCTATGATAACAAAGATAACAGTCAGGTATCTTCATTTCTCACTTATCATCTCCAATGACTACTTGTAAAGTTCACGATTGTAGCCCACTGTTGTGGTTCCGGTAACAGAAAGTGGCGGTATTGATGATAACTAATTAACAGTCAGGTATCTTCATTTCTCACTTATTGTCTCCTATGGTTACTGGTAAAGTTCACGATTGTAGCCCCCTTGTGGTTCCGGTAACAGAAAGTGGCGGTATTGATGATAACTATAGTAAAACTTCGATGAGTCGAACTTCGATGAGTCGAATTTCTCGATGTGTCGAACTTTTTGCCAAGTCCCGATTTTTTCCCCTATATAATACTACTAATTTCAAATTTATGACGCGAACTTTTATGAATCGAAGTTCTCGCCATGGTTAAGAAACCATAAGAAATCACAACACATGAATCGAAGTCAAAAATTTTACCAGTACGAGTGTCCCATGGCAGTTTTCACACCTCGGCGGAAGCGTGAACAATGGACAGGCAAGGGCTAGACACAAAGTGACATTAATCACTGATCATGTCTGATTGTCTACACAAGCCGTATTTTCAAGTCATTAACCGTTAAGTGGTGTGATTATGGCCTGATTGTTTGTTTGTCCACTGGCGACGCTCGATAGGATAAATGGTGTTGGATACACACGTGCGGAACACACGTTAGATGTTTACCGCTATGTGGGTGTATATGTTAGTGGAAATTAACGCATTGTAAAAACATGCGATATAGTGCTAAGATATGTAATGTAAATTGTACATATGAATTCTTTTCCTTTCTCCGATGTTTGATAGATTATGCGAGCGATCAACACGAGATATTGATTGATAAGGGACTCTGCATATAAGACAAACGGACACAATACACATCAGGTGTATTTTTTGTGGTTGGACGGTCACCATTCATGAGTCGAAGTCCCGATGTGTCGAAGTTTTCTCAGCGGTCCCTTGAACTTCGACACATCGAAGTTTTACTGTAATTAACAGTCAGGTATCTTCATTTCTCACTTATTGTCTCCTATGGTTACTGTAAGAGTTATTGTTTGTAGCCCATGAAATCCTCCTACTATGGCTTATCAGAACTAATTAACTATCATGTATATTTACTGCATGATTTGGTCAGTTACATTGTTTAAATACCACTAAGGTATTTAGCGAAGTGCTGTTTACTGCATTAAATACAACCAATATGAAACAATTATTTTGTAATATTATATATTTGTGATGTTGCATAATTCATAAATTTGCACCAGAGCGAGATTGAATCTTATCGAGGTAATCATTATGTTTTATGTACATCTATATAATGAAAATCAACTATAAAAATAAGACATGAATTAAATAAATAATTGAAAAAC